AAAGAAGTAGATATTTCAAGCTTTGATGGAACAAGTCCACACTGAAAAAATATTATGAATATAATATAATACATTGTGAATTTTGTATCTTTTTACTTGGAAATAAAAAGAATGATTCTAATCTTGCAACTAAAGCTGAATTTGGGAGACTTCCTATAGAATTTAGTATTAAAACACAAACATTATTATATTCAAAGAGATTTGAATGTTGTAAGATAAATCCTCTTTTGAAAGAAGCTTAAGTAACATGCTTAGCAAAGACGTAGACACAAAAGGAGTAAACTCCTGATTTACCTTTGTAAAAATTATTCTTTGTGAACTTAATTTAGATGTAAGGCACAAATACAACAAAATACTAGTTCATACCTAAAAATAAATACATGTATTTCATTTAAAGGTTATATAAAAATTTTCAAAGTACTTTTTAGAGCTTGTTTTTATATAACCTTTAAATGAAATACATTTATTTATTTTAAGGTATGAATAACTACTTTGAAAATTTGATTCATAATAAGATGCAAAAAAATAATGAAAAAAGTAAACTTTATTTATATGAGAACCTTAAACCAAATTTATATTTTGAAGACTATTTAAGGTAACACGATACCGAATGGCATATCTCCCGATTTCTAAAATTTTGGACACACTTGTACTTTGATTCGAGTTACATCGGAATATGAAATAAAAAATGGGGGTCACCATGCTTGTTTTTTTGTAATTTTGATAAGTAAATGTCAATTTTGGCGCCAAATTTACATAGATATATTATCGAGGGAAGATGCCTTTTTTTCGACTTACTTTTCTAGATTTTTCAATGGATGGCTATTTTCTCATATACGGAGAAAAACTAAAAACTAACATAATATCCAGGATTGTATACCAAATCCATACATGGTCATGTATAAAAAAATATATGTCACCATCCTAGTTTTTTAGATAAATCGCTTCAAAGATGACCGATACGCTTAGAAATTGACAAAGATAAGTGACGTTACGGAATACAGAATAACGTTATTTTTGAGGAATTGAAAAAAAATGTAACGGGATCTGAATGGTGTTTGTTATTTTATTTTCATTCCCTCTGTCGGAAATTTTCTAATAATTCATTAATTTTATGTCGTCCTAACTGGGTACACTTTTAGCTTTCAGGAATGATAACTCGTGGTGTAACGTCATTCGGTATCGTGTAACCTTAATTAAGAAAACCAAACTTTACATACAGAAAATTAATAACAAAACTAAGAATTAGTTTCCATAGTTTAAAAATAGAAGAAGGAAGATATTCTAATATTCATAGAGAACAGAGATTATCCATTTAAGGTAACATATTAGAAGATGAAAAACATGTTTTATTCGATTGTTAATTAAATAGGTAATTGAGAGACAACTCTTTTGATAATTTGGAAATAAATTTTTCTGTTAAAGATTTGTCTGATGAAAAAAAAGGTGATTTTTTATACTCAATCCATCAACACCACCACAGTCATTAGAACTGAGGACAGGGGACTCTGGACAATTTCATGTTTTAAAATTATTGTGTATATATATGTGAATTTCAGTTATATTGTATACTTATTTTATATTTGTAACAAACTTATTATTTAAAGTTTATATGGCAATAAACATTTGAATTGAATTGAATTGAATTGAATTATTCGTTCATTCCAGAAATTATATAATTCACTAAATATCTGCGATTTGTTCTTACTATTGTGCTTTTTCATGCAAGAGAAAGAAATATTTAGAAAAAGAGTTTTGTTCTTTAGTGTGTATGTCCTGGGATTTTTATATTGTCCGCGAGAGAGAATGTCATAAACAGTTTGTCTGCGATTCATAACCTTCTTGGAGAATGTCGTATACAGTTTGTCAGCGATTCATTGCCTTCTTGGAGAATGTCATATACAGCATGCAGCGATTAATTGCCTTCTTGGAGACTGCCGTATACAGTTTGTCCGCGATTCATTACCTTCTATGAGAATGTCGTATACAGTTTGTCCGTGATTCAGTACCTTCTTGGAGAATGGCGTATACAGTTGTCCGCGATTCATTACCTTCTTAGAAAAATGTCGTATACAGTTTGTCCGCGATTCATTACCTTCTTGGAGACTGCCGTATACAGTTTGTCCGCGATTCATAACCTTCTTGGAGAATGTCGTATACAGTTTGTCCGCGATTCATTACCTTCTTGGAGACTGCCGTATACAGTTTGTCCGCAATTCATTACCTTCTTGGAGAATGTCGTATACAGTTTGTCCGCGATTCATTACCTTCTATGAGAATGTCGAAAACAATTTGTCCACGATTCATTACCTTCTTTGAGAATGGCGTAAACAGTTTGTCCGCGATTCATAACCTTCTTGGAGAATGTCGTATACAGTTTGTCCGCGATTCATTACCTTCTTGGAGACTGCCGTATACAGTTTGTCCGCAATTCATAACCTTCTTGGAGACTGCCGTATACAGTTTGTCCGCGATTCATAACCTTCTTGGAAAATGCCGTATACAGTTTGCCCGCGATTCATTACCTTCTTGGAGACTGCCGTATACAGTTTGTCCGCGATTCATCACCTTCTATGAGAATGTTGAAAACAATTTGTCCGCGATTCATTACCTTCTTTGAGAATGGCGTATACAGTTGTCCGCGATTCATAACCTTCTTAGAAAAATGTCGTATACAGTTTGTCCGCGATTCATTACCTTCTTGGAGACTGCCGTATACAGTTTGTCCGCGATTCATAACCTTCTTGGAGAATGTCGTATACAGTTTGTCCGCGATTCATTTCCTTCTTGGAGACTGCCGTATACAGTTTGTCCGCAATTCATTACCTTCTTGGAGAATGTCGTATACAGTTTGTCCACGATTCATTACCTTCTTGGATACTGCCGTTACAGTTTGTTCGCGATTCATTACCTTCTTGGAGAATGTCGTAAACAGTTTGTCCGCCATTCATTACCTTCTTGGAGAATGCTGTATATAGTTTGTCCGCGATTCATTACCTTCTTGGAGAATGTCGTTTACAGTTTGTCCGCGATTCATTGCCTTCTTGGAGAATGTCGTTTACAGTTTGTCCGCGATTCATTGCCTTCTTGGAGAATGTCATATACAGTATGCAGCGATTAATTGCCTTCTTGGAGAATGTCGTATACAGTTTGTCCGCGATTCATTACCGTCTTGGAGAATTTCGTATACAGTTTGTCCGCGATTCATTACCTTCTTGGAGAATGCCGTATACAGTTTGTCCGCGATACATTACATTCTTGGAGAATGTCGTATACAGTTTGTCCGCGATTCATTACCTTCTTGGAGAATGTCGTATACAGTTTGTCCGCGATTCATTACCTTCTTGGAGAATGCTGTATATAGTTTGTCCGCGATTCATTACCTTCTTCGAGAATGTCGTATACAGTTTGTCCGCGATTCATTGCCTTCTTGGAGAATTTCGTTTACAGTTTGTCCGCGATTCATTGCCTTCTTGGAGAATGTCATATACAGTATGCAGCGATTAATTGCCTTCTTGGAGAATGTCGTATACAGTTTGTCAGCGATTCATTACCGTCTTGGAGAATTTCGTATACAGTTTGTCCGAGATTCATTACCTTCTTGGAGAATGCCGTATACAGTTGTCCGCGATTCATTACCTTCTTGGAAAAATGTCGTATACAGTTTGTCCGCGATTCATTACCTTCTTGGAGAATATCGTATACAGTTTATCCGCGATTCATTACCTTCTTGGAGAATGTCATATACAGTTTGTCTGCGATTCATTACCTTCATGAAGAATGTCGGTTACAGTTTGTCTGCGATTCATTACCTTCTTGGAGAATGTCATATACAGTATGCAACGATTAATTACCTTCTTGGAGAATGCTGTATACAGTTTGTCCGCGATTCATTAACTTCTTGGAGAATGTCGTATACAGTTTGTCCGCGATTCATTGCCTTCTTGGAGAATGTCGTATACAGTTTGTCCGCGATTCATTGCCTTCTTGGAGAATGTCGTATACAGTTTGTCCGCGATTCATTACATTCTTGGAGAATGTCGTATACAGTTTGTCCGCGATTCATTACCTTCTTGGAGAATGTCGTATACAGTTTGTCAGCGATTCATTGCCTTCTTGGAGAATGTCGTATACAGTTTGTCAGCGATTCATTGCCTTCTTGGAGAATGTCGTATACAATTTGTCAGCGATTCATTACCTTCTTGGAGAATGTCGTATACAGTTTATCCGCGATTCATTACCTTCTTGGAGAATGTCGTATACAGTTTGTCAGCGATTCATTGCCTTCTTGGAGAATGTCGTATACAGTTTGTCAGCGATTCATTACTTTCTTGGAGAATGTTGGTTACCCTTCCATTAACGTTTTAGAATTGTTTTAAGTAAATTTATCAAACGTCATATATTTTGTTTCGTTTCGATTTCGTTTCTCATTTTAGTAAAAACACCCTTTTTTATTATGTATGCATTAAGACGGTTTGCCATCCTCGTTTGTTTTAATTGTTCATCTAACCCCTTGTCTCAAAAACTTCTTTAAATACTTCTGAAAAGTTTTTTCTTTATAAAAGAAAGTTCTGGCCTTGCGATAAAAAACTTTCGAGCACGATTTTCGTACTGCAGACTTAGAAATCAACCAATCAAAGTCATGGATTTGGTGTTTCGAGCACAAATCATGCACTCCGAGTACTGAGTAAAGTTTTATGACCGAGAGCCCAGGTCCATATAACATGTATAAGCTTGTTCAACAATCCGCTATCATTTGCAAAGTGCATGTAACAAATCAGCCAGTCATCATCAATTCGATATAAAGACAATCTAATTAAAATATCTGTGATTTCGTTATGCTCGTAAGCGAGTTATGATAGATCTGAATTTTAATCAGATTGATATTAAGATAACATGGCCATTGAATATTATTTTAATAGATATGAGTACTTTGATTTCCAGTATTTTTATTCCCAATTTTGTACATTTTTGCAAACATCAGGGATTAATTTACTTACCGAAGTGTTTTCTATTCCATATTTCGACATGACGAACTGGATAGTCTTTTCCGAGGAATACCCACCAATATGGATTCTGTTCATACCTCGTACGAAACATTGTTAACAGATTATGGTCAACACCATTACGTGAAGAGTAGAGCCATGTTGGGGTTGAACTTTGACCTGTCTTTCTGTTGTATGACACTTCTTTAATACACGTTTTAGTTGGAACTAAGAAGAAAAAAGAAAAAGTCGTTGAACTGCCCTGATACAAATATACAATTCGTCGTGACTAAATTATTCAGAAAAGAAAAGTTGGTGTGCAAAGTTTATATACGTTTTGAAAAGCAATTTATTACAAAATGTTGTAATGCTTTTTTGAGTTAATCCAAATCAAACTTTATTTCTATTTGGAGAACCAGGATATTCGTCAATAAGGAAACAACCCGACAATACAAACAAGTTGCTTTCTTAGTAACCATCGCAATTCAGATATATTTTAAGGTGGATTATTGGTATATATTTCAGATAGAATTTTCTTATACTTTGCTAGAATGTAGATTTTTCCATGATATTTTTCAAAAATATAATTAAAAGTATGTGTCACTATGCTACTTTTCAAGCTATTAGTTGTGCAAAATTACCAAAATTTGCATAGATGGTTCATGAAAACACATTTTTGTAAATGATAAAAAAGAAATCTATGAGATAAAATAAGATAGGTTTTAAAATATGCTTTAAGGAAATGAAAAGAAAAAAAGGTGTCACGGTGACCGACCTTGTTTTCTTGCTACTAGTAAACATTAAGAATTTCTCTTATCATTCCTTTATAAAAAAAAAATACTATTTGAGTTATCCCGCTTAAAAGGCTAAGTTGATAATTTGATTCCAACAAACACAAATATTTGGTATTTGATAAATCAGTTTGATTACTGCAATAAATCACTCATTTTTCTTTATTCTAATAAACAGTATAACCCATTAATTGCCAATCTGTCTCAAAATTTGCAGAATTAAGCAAAGAACTAGACTATTTTACAATCCAAGATGGCGGTATACAGTTAATCTACCCTAAAAAAGCATGTCCATATACTAAAGAGGCGGATGGTACAAAAAGAATATCAACGAGTCAGATTCACAATAAAACTTACGACTATTAGTATACTGAATTGATCATGGCTTACGATCAATCTTAGTCGTAAGATTTTTCGTGAAACCGACTCCAGTCTCATAAGACGAAAACAAAATGACACTGGAGAGGTGGCAAATGAATAATGACCAAAGGACAAACAACAGTCTATAAAACTCAAGATATAAAACTAAAGACTGAGCAACACGAATCCCATTCTAAATCTGGTGTGATATCGGGTACTCAAAAAGGGAGATCCTGCTCCACATGTGGCACCGATCTTTTGATAATTAACAGCTGATTTTGAATTATTGACCACAAATGAAAATGAAAATGGAAATGGGGAATGTGTCAAAGAGACACAAAACATTTCTAGACTATACATATAACTTAATTAGTCGAAGTGATCTCTCTCTCTCTCTCTCTCTCTCTCTCTCTCTCTCTCTCTCTCTCTCTCTTCTCTCTCTCTCTCTCTCTCTCTCTCTCTCTCTCGTTATTTGAAAAAGTAATACCAATAAAAAATTTGCCCACTAACCTGTATCTTTGTTTATATAATTTAAATCCATATAGTTAAATAATACTAATAGTTTAACAAGAGTGCACACGCTGAAATGTCTCGCATTCTTTACTAATCATTGATATTATGTTGATAGTCCTAAATATAAAGCTTTGATACAACTGTCACATAAACTTAACATTAACCAAGTAAACTAAAAATTGGCCAATGAACCATGAAAATGAGGTCAAGGTCAGATAAACCATGCTAGGCAGGCATGTACAGCTAACAATTCTTCCATACAAAAAATATAGTTGACCTATTGCTTATAGTTTAAGAAAAACAGACCCAAAACACAAAAACTTAACACTGAGCAACGAACCTTGAAAATGAGGTCAAGGTCAAATAAAACCTGCGTGACTGACACATAGATCATAAAATATTTCCATACACCAACTATAGTTGAACTATTGCATATGGTATTAACCCTTTCCTCCATGGAAATTTTTTTTTTACATACTTGATTTGCATAGCATTTTTCATTAAAATGCTGAAAATATGCTTACTTTAATGAAATATTAACTGTACCTCTAATAGACCAGTTAGACATTTGAAATTTTTTGTCAGTTATACATTTAAGTCAGATCTTCAAAATTTACTAAAAAAAAATTTTTTAATATTGTTGCCATGGTAACAGATAATGAGATTTATCCAAATATAAAATTAAAATGGTTAAATTTTGGGTTAAATCTTGTAATGTCAATTTGTTTCTAAGAAAACAATGAGAGAATTGAATGTACATAAATAATCTGAATGGAAACTTTATTTTCTTTAAAAATTGTCTATTTTTTTCCTCATAGCAACAGAAGTATTTCCATAGCAACCAAAGAAAATTGTGATTAAATTTTGAATTTAAAAAAAAACTGGTGAAAACATTTAAAAATAAGGTTTTTAAAGGTTAATCAAGATGACTCATATATTGGAATATATTATGGAAAATAATATTGTACATTATTTTTCCCTAGCAACAGTTTCTGTTCATAGCAACCAACTGAAATCCTGTATAATAAGTAAAAAATGAACAGTTGACAGTTAGATATTTTGGATGATAACAAATGGAAACTTTTTATCACAACATTGCACTTGAAAAAGATTTATCATATGTGTGCTCCTAGCATCCAAATAAGGCCCAAGAATCAGACTAAAAAGTAGGTGCTTAGGCCAACAAATTAGAAAATGCATTATTAGTTATCAGATATCTTGTTTCTAAAAGAAAATCTATGATGTTTGTGAAGTTGTTTAACAAAGACCTTTTTGTATACTACAGTAGTGATAAGTATCACAGTTTGAAAAGGCAATATGAAAATAATAGCATGTGGTATAGTTTCTTTTTATTACATTTTTGTACACCATTTTGCATCTGGTTTTAGTTGTGTTCAATGGAACACTGACACTGTTATTGTTAATGGTGTTACATGCTGATTATGCATATGCCTGTTTCTCTTTGTAAATCCTCTCGAAAATGTAACATCAATCCTGAAATCTAGAAGGGTATTAAACTTTTTCCTATGTTGATACCCTGCTGTGCGTTTCATCACAATTTGAATTTATAAAAAAAAACATTATTTCAATTTAGGTTTTTTCCTATAAAGACAAACCCCTTCCCCTCCAGAAATAACAATACATTAACTTGAAAGAATTCAGCTAATCCCTTCCTTGTTTCACGTCCAGTGGCAAATATTTCATGCATATTCAGAAGGAGGTCCTTATAAATCCTTATTTGTTTACCTCTTCTCAATGCTAGTCTTCTAAAGACCTTTCTGTAGACTGTTTTGCATACAATAATGAAATAAGGAAATGTGGTAAGATTGCCAATGTGACAACTTTTCAACAGTCCAAATGATGTGGATGTAAGACAATGACCATTCATAGTTTATGTGTTATGCATGTTATGACAAAATGTGAAGCAATCCACACTAGAAAACCAACGGCCTGATTTATGCTAAAAGGGTAAACAAAAAGATGATAGACAGCAACCAACAACAACCACGGAATAATAGGCTTCTGACTTTGGACAGAAACATACATAATGTGGTTGTGTTAATTATGATTATGAGCGCACATTACTCCCCAAAGAGAGGCAAAAGGGACATTCAAACGCATAAGTCGAAATAAACTGACAACACAATGGTAAACAACGAAAAAGAAAAAAGACAAGCAACAGTATACAAAACACAATATAGAAAACTTAAGACTGAGCAACACAAACTTGGGCAGTGATTCAAATAGACAATAAATGTGGATAGTAAAATTAAGAATGGAAATGGGGAATGTGTCAAAGAGATAACAACCCGACCATAGAACAGACAACAGCAGAAGGTCACCAACAGGTCTTCAATGCAGCGAGAAATTCCCGCATGTGGACACATATGATGCCCCCGCTTGCATATCATATAGTTATAAAGAGACATAACTGAAGAATGGTAAAAGTGACGCTACCCAAACTTGAACTTGATCTGAGTTTTGTGGTAATAAGCGTTGTGTGTAAGTCTCATAAAATTCAGCAATTTTTATGATAATAAAGGGACATAACACTAGAATGGTAAAAGTGTCGCCACCAAATTTCGTACTTAATCTGTATCATGTAGTAATAAGCATTGTGTATAAGTTTCATAACATTTGGCAACATAAAGTTAGAAAACGGAAACAAAAAATTTGTACTTGATCTTAGTTTTGTGGTAATGAATATTGTGTATAGCATAACTCAATAATGGTTAAAGTGACACTACCCAAATTCAAATTTGATCTGTGTTTTGTGGTAATAAGCATTGTGTATAAGTTTCATAACATTTGGTTGAGGCAAACTCAAGTTAGAGAACGGAAACCAATTTTGGGATGTACGTACGTACGTACGTACATATAGACGGACAAGGGTAAAACTTAATGCTCCCACCGCTATGGCAGGGGCATAAAAAAAGGAATAAAATGTAAAAGTCTGCGTTGAATGGCTTGAATCGATAGGAGTGCTAAGCATCCATCCAAACTCCTGCTCTTTAATGGCTGACTTGACTCATTAGATTGGCAAGAAGTACATATAAAAAAAAATAAAAAAACAAAACATGTGAGTGAGTGAGTATTGATCTAAGGGTACACAGTTACTGAAAGCTAGTTTAAAGCCAATTAATTATAACTATCAATAGGTATTTTGTTTTCTCCCAGACTAACAAAATATTAGTCAGTAACAGCCAGTGGAAGTAGAAAACAAGTTCCTCAAAAATCAACTTGAAAAAAATTTGTAACATACAATGTATGAACATGACATGTTCTTTCATTAAAGTTTAGGATACTAATATTATTTAATATCCCTCTTGTTCCTCTACTAAACATTAATAATAAGATGTGCTGATCAGTTGGTTGCTTAAATTTAAGGTAGATTTTAATCAAATGAGTAACTACATTTTTACTTCTATCTCGCATTCTGATTCTCTGAAACCCGAAATACGGCGAAAATCGTGAAGAGAAAAATGCACGTATGTCTGTTCTTTTAGTCTGACATATTTTATAAATGGGAAGTGAACCGCAAAGTTAAGGCTCTGTAATTTGTTA